CGATGTACAGCAGCACCGCATTGAAGAGAATGCCGCTGTGCGTACTTCCGCCGTCCTCACTCCAGCGGTTTCTAGGGTCGCCGCGGTGGAACCGCCCAGTGATGGTGCGCACGGTCTCACCCGCGGATTTGCCCCAAAGTCGTCTCCAGCGCCTCTTCGCCACCGGCCAGAGCACGTTGCCCACACCGAAGAGAAACGGCATCATGGCAACAACTAACACCACCATAAACGGTGCACATCCGGTTGGTGCATCCGACGGTAACTCCGCATTGAGGCGAATGAGAGACACAACGGGATGGACGCTGCGGCGGTCACTCATAAAATTTTCACTTCCGCTGCCCCCACCTCCCGCGCCTGTTTCACAAAGCGCAACACCAGCGTGCATATATGCCTTCTCTCTCTCCTTCTCTCTCTGTGGATATATATATATATCCGTCTCCCTTCCCCACCTCTTCTGAGGCACGGCGTATTACCAACAGAAATGGCAGGCAGCAAAGACGCCCCCGGTGCGTGCTGTTGACCACAGAGTCATGAACAAATAAACGGATAGCCCCGCTCGTCCAAATCTCAACACACACAGAATCGTATAAATAGAGAGTGAGATGGAAAAAAAGAATAGGGTATACAGTCGGACGTGCACGCTAGAAATCCCGCAACCTCCTTCAACGCTGCAGATAAAATCACTGACGGCAACAACACACAGACGCACACACGTGTTTTTTTTTGTTTATTACCTTGTGCCTTCTTCTCCCGCCAGTTCTCCGCGCGCCTGCCTCATTTTTTGCTAATTGCGTGGGCGCGCCACCTTCGTTCACTGCCTCACCCCACCGCCGCCCTCCCGAGCCGAGGCCACAGCCGCCGCAAAGGCGGCGCAGTGAAGGACACCCCAACAGGGTGGAAAAAAGAGGCAAATAACCAGCTAAAAGAAAGTGCGGGATACGCATAACTGTCACTACGCGTCAGAAGGAAGAAATAAAGGGGTTCAAACACCGGAGACGCTACAACATGGACAACCTTCGCACCCGTCGCGGGGAGAACACTCCTCGAGATATCTTCGCTCCCTCTCCCCACTCACCATATCCCTCTAAAACTCCGTGTTGCTTCCGCACAGCGTGTCGTGGTAGAAGTAATTAAAATTGAGCCGAAGAAGGAGAAAGTTCAGAAAGTCAAACTGCAGGTGCTGCTCCTCCAATGTTGTGAGAAGCGACGTAATCTCTCGCTGAAAGTCATCCGCCAGGCGTTGGTACTCACACTTGATGGAGAACACGTCTCCGCTCCCGCGCTCCAGCAACGAGGTCAGGAGTGCCTGGGCCCCAACGTACTGCCGAACGATGCTGAGAACGCTCTCAATGTTCTGACGCATCGAGGCGCAGTCACCGTGAAGAAGGGAGTGGAGCGTTAGGTACTGCAGGTACGCTATGTGGGCGGCTCGAATGTCGTCCAGTGAGGTGCATTGCCGCAGCGCCTTCATGAGAAGGTCCCACGAGACGGTGGAGACCTCCGCCACAAGGTACGACCAAAGATTGTTTACGAAGTGGTTTAGCTGCAGCCCAAGGAGGTGCGCGTCCGCCGCAACTTCGCGCCAGGCGGTGAGTTCACGGCTTGTGTTGTGCAGTCGTCCAATGATGCGATCCAGGACGACGCTCTGTCGCCACGACTTCTTCAGCGCAACCTCGGCCCGCTTGACTTTGAACATGATGCGGAAGAGACGTCGGTAGACTTTCATGGAGGTTAAGTCAAAGACATTATTGAGTGGGGAGGGCACTGACATTGTCACAAGAAACGCATCCCACCCAATAATTTTGTCGTCCTTCACCAACTCACACTGCATCATCGAGAAGAGATCCGTGTCGAGGTTCCGCGTGTAGGGGACAATGTCGAGCAGCGTGCTCTGCATGTGGTCTCGCACAATGGATGTTTGCACCATATGACTCAGTCTGCTGAGCACCGGGTCTAACCGATGGATGAGCAGCTCGTAAAAACCTCCATTACCAACAAGCAGAAAGGCGTTCACCATACGAAAAACGTTGTCAAGGTGAAACTCCTCACGAATCAACTTCAGCACGGCTTTGTTTGTAAAGCACACGGCATCACGAACAACCGCGCTAATGGTGTCAAACGAGGCATTTTGTGCCGCTGCCACAATGGCAGGATCCATGTGCCACTGCTTGCACCGGCAACAGTTTCTGATAAAACTAACGTTCTTCGTCACCAGCATCACTTGCTCCGCCAAAGCGCGTGGAACGGTGGTGGGAAGCATTTCTGGCAGAAGTGCAAACTTGGAGGACCAAAACGCGTCGGAGATGTTATCTATTCGGGGGTTAGATTTCACAAAAAACTCGTTAAAGGGGTCCAAGATCTCACCTTTTGTGATGCTTGACACAGCCATGTAGAGTAGCGGACTCACCGCTTCCATGTATACATCCGAGAGCAGCGCGGAGAGTCTAGTGGAGCCCTGCTGCACAAGTCGCTGCAGCTTCGAGGCGAGCTCCCCACCTTTCACAGACTCTGTCTCACGAAGAATCGTAAAGAGCACGTGAAGTTTGGGCTGCACCCTCTTGAAGGCGACAACCAAATCACTGAATGTCATTGGCGGCGACCGACGTTCCCGGAAGGAGGCCACCAGGCAATGATACTGCAAAAGCTGCCGCCGCACCGCACTACGCAAACTCTGCTGCAAAAAAGACCTTTCGGTGTTGCTGCCTCCAAGCACGTCATCAATCTGATGCGCCAGCCAGCCACACTCCTGCAGCGTGACAGCGGCCTGCCGCTGGCGCACCGTCCCCATTTCCGCATTAACCGCGTACCGATGGGATGCCTCATCGTAGGTAAAGTACTTCGTCCTATCAACTCCCATCCACATAAACAGCACGTCCGAGATAAACTCGCCCTCCGACAGGGCCCTGCAGGAGTGTCCGACGATGGAAGAAACAGTTACGCCTCCCTCGTGTGGCGCAGCCTCCGTGGTGTCCCCAATGGGCTGCGCCACGTCACGGTGACGCTGCACCACACCGGAGGCTGCTGTCGCAGTCTTCAGCAACACCGCATCCTGCCGCACACCGCTCACGTCTGCAGAAGCACGTTCTCGACGACCAAAAATGCGCCCGGGCAGTTCAAACCCACCATACCCGTTGCTCCCCACAGTGAGGTTGGTGATGCCGGTCATGCCGCCCCGCACCCCCGCTTCCTCCGTCACGCGACAAGGCACGTCGTCGTTCGCTGCCTCAGAAGGTATTGCGGGGGCAACGTTAGACAACGATCCACTCGACGCGGGCGGCACAGTGGCCACGCCACGCAGCTGCGTTGCGGCTCTAAACGGGATAATCCTCGGGCTGCCTTCACGCATAACCGGGCTGCCCTTCTCCGTAAGGGGCCACTTAGACAAAAACAGCGATTCCCTTCCGGGGCCACTCCCACCGCCTGGCATCCAGCGAGGTTCACACACACAAAAACAAAAAAAACCTACAAAAACAACTAACAAAAACCCACGGTAAATCTAACAACAACAACAACAAAAAGCACGTCCGCAAACACTCAACCAGAAAAAAAGAACGCCCCCTCAACAAGCAAACCGAACAGTACAACACAACACAAACAAATAATTACAATCAAAACTTAACAGCAAAATATTCCCAACAAACAATAATAATAATAATAATAATAATAGAG